CGACAATTCTTCGTACCAAACTGATTCGTTCCTGTTACAAACTAGGTTTGTCCAGTACGAAGGGTTATTACAAGTCGAATAGAAACTGCTGAAACTGCCCTCAAGTCAGGTTATAATCGTGTCTTGAGACACAAAATGATTCGTCTAGACGTAATTTTTTAAACAGAAGACAGGATCGTCTTTACGATTATATAATTTTCTGACGAAAATTTTCAAAGAGCCCAATCGTACTGGACGGATAATTTTATTTCGCTGGACGCAAATTTCCAGAAGACCAGCGTACTTATACGATAATTAATATGTCTGGACGAAAAATTTTCAAGAGACAATCGTATCTGTCAACGATAATTAAGTGCGTCTGGACGAAAATTTTCCAGATAGCCAATGTACTGTACGATATTAATTTCGTCTGGACGAAAACTTTCAGAGAGCAATCGACGTACGATAATAATTTCGCTGACAAATAAGTACTAGAAAAATTTTCAAGCAAGTTCCTATTCGTTCCTCAATGCTCTATAGGAGATGACTGTTTGATCGTCCAGTACAAACTGAAGATCGTCCTGTATATCAGTATAAATTCTACATGATCTTCTTATGTTGAATGTTTTATTTCTCAAAATACAATCACCCACCTTCCCAATTGATTTCTAAGAAAGTGCAAGCTTCAAATTTTACAAAGTATCTCATGCTGAAATTAATGTGAATTTCGTAGTCTGGAAGTCCGTTTTTTACTGAAAGTAGTTACACCACAAGGCAAATACAATTCTTCCAAAATTATTAGGAGATAACTACACATTTGAACAATAATATTTGAAATCATCAAAACTTTATAAGTTGCAAAAATGAAAAGCATGCAAATAGCAACTATCTTAACAGAGGTCGCATCGAATCCCCCTGGGATTAATTTTTTCTTTATTGGGAGGGGGTGAATGCCTCGTGTATACTGAATCAAAGGTAAAGAATGGTCTATCTTTAGATCGTTACTACCTTTTTGAGATCAAGATTAAGACCTTACCCAAGGAGTAGAAGTCCAACAAGGGACTGTATAAAGTTTATAATTGATAGGAATTATCCTTGCATTTGTTGGGATTTTTCTAAAATATTGCCTTTATGTTGAAAGTATTGGAGGATCTTTTTTGACCATCGATGGAGTCAAAGTCCCCCCCCCCCTATTCTGCATCTGATTCTTATGAAATTTGATGCAGCAATTACTGATGTCAGGAAGTTGACATGAATGATCTTCAGATGTTGGAGCAAAATTTGCCCCCCCAGTTGGGAACCACTTTCCCACAAATGACGTCAAACTGTTGCGTCCTGGAGTATTCACGGTGGTAGAGAAATATAAAGTTTAATGTCATAGCATTGTATGAAAATCTAGCACACATACAGATAAAAAGATAGGGTGCAGCATTTATTGGAGACACCAAGATTTTTACGTGGAAAACCCCTGAAAATGAGAAAAAACCATGAGACCTGGCCTAGTTTGAATGAATCCTCTATTATTTGCAGTCGATTACAAATGAGGCCCTTCCTTAACAGGAAGGCCTTAGATTACATGTTGGGAATACAAAGAGTCACTATTAACGTGTTCGCTTAGTCGAAAGGACTTTAGTAGTTGGGCGACGTAAGTTAGAAGGACCGTAGTCAACGGGCAACGTAAGTCGAGAGGACCATAGTCGGCTGGCAACGAAGGTCAGAAGGACTGTAGTCGGTGGGCAACATAAGTCAGAAAGACCTTAGTTGGCGAGCGACGGAGGTCGGAATGATTGTAGTCAGTGGGCGACGTAAGTCAGGAAAATCGTAGTCGGCTGGCGATGAAGGTTGGAAGGATGGCATCAGGTAGACATCTAGAAATGGATAGAAATCCAGCATCGGATAGATGTCTGACGAAAGTTTGACAACAGGCAGAAGTCCGGTGTTGGGTAGAAACTTGGTGACAAGTGGAGGTTCAACGTCGAGAGGAAGTCCGACGCCAGTTGGCAGCCGAGGAGAACTTCAGTGTTATATGGTATTGGGACAGAACTCTGACGTCACTTGGAGTTCAGGTGAAACTCCGGCGTCACTAGGAGGTTGGGCAAAATTCTGGCGTCCCTTGGAGGTTGGGCGGAATTCCGGCTTCACTTGGACAGAATTCCGATGGCGATCGTCGAGGAGTTCTTCCCTCTTATCCTTCTTCTCTTTTCTTCTCCTTCTCCTCTTGCCTCCCGCCCTCTCAAGAGAAATGAGGGGTCTATTTATAGATTTTTGAGAATGGCATGACCCGTAAATAAGAGGATCAAGGGAAAAGGTGGAGTGGTTCGGCTGGACGGCTGATATTGAATCCCTTGATCATGGACCGTTCGTCAGACATTTGAAGGTCTTAATGGTCTCAGAATTCGATGATCTTGGGCTCGATGGATTCTTCTCATCGAGCCGCTCAAGTTGAGTATAAGCATGTCATGTTTGGAGACCGTTTGGTAATCCAAATTGTGGTTTGAACCTTCCAACGGTGCTTCGGGTCCTTGATTTGGACTCATTTGGGCTCGGATTAAGTTGAATTTGGTGTCATTGGGTTCGTATTTCTGAGATGATTAGTTCGACTATAAGCTTGCTGAAATCTGAGTTCAGATGATCCCAGATTTAATTTTTGAAGTTTCCAACATGATTTCTGCCTCGAGATTCGTGCCTGATCAAGATAATTTCTTGATGACATATCAATATTTAATCTCATCAAATAAATAAATTAGAATATTTGATGGAAAGGGCATATGATTTTATGAATTTATAGTAGCAAAAAAAAATGAATTTAAGTGCATTAATTATTCATTTTAATAATTATAATTAAATTCATGATAGAAAAAAAAATCATTTGATTAATCTTTTTCGTTAAGCAATTTTTTATTATTTAACGTTATATTTCTCAACCTGGCCTCCCTAAGCTATCCACTTTCTAAAGAACTTCAGAAAAATAAAGAAAAAATATCTCCAAAAGAAAGCACGCCGCGTAGGAGAAAGCCAGCAAAAGCAACTCCGTCAGCCCAGCAGCCAAAAGATCGCCTCCTCTGATTTTATTATTATTAGTTTATTACCACTATTTTGCAACCTCTTTATTCAAAAACAGGAGAGAGAGAGAGAGAGGGCGGAAAACGCCTTATAAAGAAGCAAGCAATACTCCTACTACCACTACAGAGCCCTCCCTCCCCTTCCTCTCCCCATTCGCTTTCCAGAATAGTCATCCCTCCTCTCATCCGCATCATCAAACAGAGCCTCTGCTAAAAAACGGAGCAAGAAGAACATGTAAAAGGACAATATTGAAGGAGAGCTGAAACTCTGTATCAGGGTGTTGGGGGTTAGCTCCTGCTGAGAGAGTGATGCGCGCTGGAGCTTGCACTATCCAGCAGGCCCTCACAGCCGAGGCAGCCTCCATTCTTAAACATTCTCTTAACCTGGCTCGTCGCCGTGGCCATGCTCAGGTCACTCCCCTTCATGTCGCAGCCACTCTCCTCAACTCTTCCTCCTCTGCTTCTTCCCTTCTCCGGCGTGCCTGCATCCGCTCTCATCCTCACCATCCCACTTCCCTCCCTCTCCAATGCCGAGCTCTCGAGCTCTGCTTCAATGTTGCGCTCAACCGCCTTCCCACATCCCCTCCACCTTCTTCTTCCTCATCCCTCCTCCACTCACACCCCTCTCTCTCCAACGCCCTCATCGCTGCTCTCAAACGAGCTCAGGCTCACCAAAGGCGAGGTTGCATTGAGAGCCAGAATCACCACTCTCATCAAACGCAGCAGCAGAACAACCAGCCTCTGCTTGCCATTAAGGTCGAGCTGGAACAGCTCACCATCTCCATTCTCGACGACCCCAGCGTGAGCAGAGTGATGAGAGAGGCAGGCTTCTCAAGCACCAGCGTTAAACAAAACCTTGAGGAGGATTCCTCTTCGGGGTTTGGAATGGCTATATCCACCAAGCCACAGCCCTTCCTTTTCGACAACAGCAGTGTTTTCTTGCCAACTCAGTTCATGAAATCGGTAGAAAAGAAGGAAGAAGATTTGAGAGTGGTTTTCGAGGTGATGATTAGAAGAAAGCTGGTGCAGTTTCAGCAGCAGAATGGTAAGAGGAGCGGTAACGCCGTTGTGGTGGGAGACTCTGCTTCCATTGCAGAGGGGATTATGGATGAGTTGTTGATGAGGTTGGAGAAAGGAGAGGTGCCAGAGGAGTTGAGAGGAGCTCAGGTTATTAAGCTTCAGCTTTCATACGTGCATCTTAGGCTTATGAGTAGAGTAGATGTAGAAATGAAGATTTCTGATCTTAGAAGAAGGGTCTTCTCTTCTTTGGAGAAAGGTGTTATTGTCTATGCAGGGGACTTGAGGTGGGCAGTAGATGAAGAGGATAGAGATGGGGAGTGTTTAGCTGGGTTTAAGCCAGTGGAATATTTGATTTCAGAGGTTGGTAGGCTTCTCTCTGAGTTCAGGAGTGGTATCAACGGACTGGGAGGAGAAAGAGGAAGGATTTGGGTCTTAGCTTCTTCTAGCTATAAGACTTACATGAGATGTAAGCTGATTAATCCATCTCTTGAGTCCCAGTGGGATCTTCAGGCTGTATTAGTTCCTTCTGGTGGTCTTGCACTGAGTCTCCATGCCCCCTGGTTAGCACTTCTTCCTATACTTACACTCTGTTGTCATCTTTTCTTGTCTTTTTGTATGGAAGAGTCCTCAATGTGTCATATTTTTAATACTTCAGTTTTCTTGTGACAAGTCATTACTTACCAAAGAAAAAGAAACTATTCAAGAAAGCTTAAAAAAATGAATTTATGATCTTGAATCTTCTACTTTTATGTCAAACTTAACAATTTCAGCTTTATATAAATGATTTGTGGGGAAAAACTATTGCAGTGGCATGGACTCAGTGGTGTCAAAACTTAGGCAGTATCACCTCCAGCTGTTGGAACCTAGAGTTTCTAATGCTGTGGAAGAGGAAGATAAGCTTCTTTGCTGTGCTGAATGCTTCGCAAATTATGAGAAAGAGGCTGCTTCAGTTTTGAAATCTGAAGCTAAAGAAGGCATTGCTGAAAATACTCAGTTGCCATGTTGCATTCAAAGTCAAAAACCAGAGAAGCTTTACAAGGTAGGGGAATAAGAAATGCCTTCAAATTCTCTTCAATGGGTTGTTTTTTTATTTATTTGTAATGCAAGTAAATTCTGATTCCAAATCATATTTCAGATTAACTTTCTGGAGTTGAGAAGGAAATGGAAGAGACTATGCCAAAACCTTCATCAATCTAGAATCAGTCATACTCAAGTGCATCCTCCTTCCATCAGCAAAGTAATTCCTTCATCTCATCCTTGGTGGTCTAATAGCTTGCCTTCAACCAAGAGCAAGTTAACCATTGAACCAAGCTCGATGTCATTCACAGCTTATAGCAAAGAAAGTCCAAAACAATGGTCATTGGAATCAAACCCGAAGTCGTCGAGGAGGCCAATCATGACAACTCTTGCACTCTGTAACCCTCTGTTCACTGATTCCGCAACATCAACTGATCATAAAAAGGCAACCGTAGTAAGCCCCAGAGGATTAGCCCAAAAGTTACAGGAGAACATTCCATGGCAATCTGAGCATATTCATTTGATTGTAGATGCATTGCTTGATCTCCAATCAAGTGAAAAGAAGGGGACCTGGATAAAGATTCATGGGAATGATCGGATTGCCAGGAGGCGCTTGGTTCGTGTGGTAGCTGAATCATTTTTTGGATCTGTTGACAGAATTTTCCACATCAATATGAAGAGATCAGCAAGTAGGGCAATTGATCTTCTCAAAGAAGCACTAGGAAAGGAATCTAAAACTGTGGTTCTGATTGAAAACATTGATTGCGCCAATCCAGAGTTTGTCAACTTGATCAATGATGGAAACAAGGTTGGATTTTTGAAGGATTCATGTGGAAGAGAGGTTGATTTGACTAATTTGATATTTATTTTGACAAGTTCTGCATCGCCCAAGAGTGGAATATTGGAAGAAGAAGAAGAAGACTGTGACAGTGTTCTTAGAATGAGGATGTGGATAGATGGGGAAGAGGAACATCAACCAATGCCTAACGAAAAGAGGATGAGTGAGTGGAATCCGACAAGAGAACAGAAGAAGCCGAGAACAGCAGATAGAGGTGAGCTGGATCTCAATGTAGCCATCACCGGTGATGGCGATGGTGATGACGATGGAGTGTTAAGTGATCTCACAAATGAGGTTTGTGCAGGCGGCGATGAAGTTCAGCTCCCTGCAACTGCTGAATTTAATTTTGATATGAACACCGACATACTTGATCACATTGTAGAGGGCTTCACAACTAGGCTTCAACGAGCATTCGAGGCCACAGTAGGCAGAAACGGAGGTGAAGAAAGGCTGGTGGTGGACCTTGCCGTGGCGCAAGAGCTTGCCACAGCTTCTGGCTTTTTTCTGGAGGTCGAGTTCGATAAGTGGTTGAGGGAAGTTTTTCAAAATTGTATTCCAACGGTCAAAAGGGGCGGGAAGGTGAGATTGCTGATTGAGGGCAAAGAAGGAAATAGGTTAGAGTTTGGTTTCCAAGGCTCGGCTCTCCCCATGAAAATCTCAGTGGATTGAGCCTTAACTTTTTCTGTAAGATCAAATGACCAAATGCTGCCAAGTTTTTTTTTTTTTTATATCGTTAATTCTATTAATTTAGCTAAGATCAAATGCCAATGATGAAGCATTTTTGCCTACATTCTAAAAATCTTCGTTAATTATAATCTCATGATTTATATTATTTTATGTACTTTCTGAATCAAAAATGCAAAATTTTTACCGTTGATTCAGTACTCTCACTACCATTATTTAATAATTGTCTAGAATAAGAAGACAATGAAAAGTCCTAAGCATCTTTTTGCCATTTTTGTTCAGATGGCTTTGCCATGCACGCTGAAAAAGTGATGGGTAAACAAAGCAAGTCTGAGAAAAGAACAAATTTTTATGTATGATTGATCTAAGAGCTGGATTTAGCTTTGACTGTTCTCCATGAGTTCCATGTTTCGAATTCCTTGAAAGGAATCAGTCTTTACATTATGATCTTCTTAAAAGCTATAAAATATGGAATCATACAAGATCTGTTTAATGGAACTTTATAGGGAGAATCTTTCTTTCTTAAGACGGTTGTAAAAATTTAAGGCTAATGACCATCACTATACTATTTTGTCTCAAAGAATTAAAAAAGGGTTAATGGATACTATTTGGTGATTAATGTCTGACATAAATAATTTTTGAGGTTTTCCTTGGCATTCCTTTTCCAAATGATTTCGACCGCAAATATGAAGCTCATAAAGCTATTGCAACCAACTTCGATCGAAAACTGATGACACAAGCAGCTTATTTTTGCCTTCTAGCTACTAACAATCAGAGGAAGACACAAACCACATAAAAAAATAATATACAAATGGTATTACAAATCAAAATATGGGATTGCATACGGTACAATCAATCTATTGAAGTTAAAAAAAAAAAAATACGACTTGGAGCATTAAGCTTGCCAACATGGTCCAACTAAACGATTAAATAGGCTCGAATTCATAAAGAGATAAATGGTTAAGAGTTTATCATCAAGAAAATAATTCTATGCATCCATCATGAGCTATAATATGGAAAGAAAAAAATTGGATTTTGTATTAAAGCTTGGTTTCAATTTTTTTTTTCTAAAATTTGAATTTTCATGCTTCAATTCATATGAAAAATTTTAGAATTGTATTTCGTTTGTTTTAATTAGCAATTGGTTTGTTTAGGTAGCCAAAGGGGCTAGCCATCAAGCTTCCAATCCTATAGAATTAACTCTCTAATTTATTTTATTTTTCAAAAGAGTAGAACTTAATTTTGGAAAATATTTGAAGTGTTACATATCGTTTAAAATTCAATGATGAAGTATCTTGATTTAGAATATTGTATATTGGATTGGTTAAAATATTATTATTGCATTATTATTAGTTGATATAAATCATATTATCATAATTTTAATATTTATTATAACATCCAGCTCAACTCTCGGTTCTAATATCCATTAAACCTTTAAACTTCAAACTTTTCATTATTCTAATTCAATGTCTAATACAATTTTTTAAACCCTGCTTGAAACATCACTACCTTGAAATTCTTGTTAAAGGTACAAATAAAAAATTTGCCATGAAAATTAATTATAGATTGTTCATGTGTTCTGAGATAAATGATGATGAAAAAATAGTTGAGAAGAGAAAGGGTGGATCAGCTTCTTGTTAGGATGTTTGTATGATTTTTTGTGCAATAGTTTTGAATCATACTTCTATAAAATGGGATGTTTTCATATACTGTAAAAGTTTTGATAATTTCTCCAAGAAAACATACAACAATCATACTTTATAAATTTATGCTAGTTCTTCTTTTGTTGATGATGGTGATTGATATTGATAGATATGCTTTTTTTATATTCTTTTTCTATGGATTGTTTTTTTTCTTGTTTTCTATATATTATTGTTTTGTAGGTTTGATCGTAGTCTTCATCCTCCAAGCTTCGGTCTCTATTTTTGGTAGATATTTAGGCCGTTTTCGATTTAGCTCTCTCTTTCTATTGTAACTAACAAGGGATCTTAAACTCCTTAGGATTTTATTTTCCTTTTGATTTTAGCTATTGAAGTGTTTACTGAGTTTTCGATCCCTTTTAGGAACCTTGTATCTTTTTTTTTTAAGTTAATGCATAAACCTTTTATGGGTTTTAATTAAAAGAAAAAAGAAAAAAAACTTTCTTCTACACACTAATAAGAATTAATAAATTTTCTTATCTAGTCAATAGGAGACCTAGTTCATTGAAGAATTTTTATTAATCAATTCAAAGAATATGAGAAGGGCCATTGATTTTATTATTTATTTATTTAATCAAATTTTACCATTCATACTAAAATCAAACAATTCATAAACTCGATAATTTTATAAAATTTGTGTACAACACTAGTAATTTAGGAGTATTTTTAACCTTCAAAAATTTCAATCTTCCAATAATGCTCTGATCAAATTATAAAATATATATTCAACCATGAGAATTTATCAAAATTGTGAAATCCTTGCAATTTATCAAAAAAATTGATGAAATTATTAGGTTTTGTACAATCATCATTTCATTACTTAAATTTAGTGCAATACTTACGAATCAATGAGAGATAAAATCTCAGAATACTTTTTAAATGTCATTATGCATATAAAATTCTTGGAATTTTAGGGTTTAGTATATGAAAAGAAAAAAGATGTCTTACTCCATAAATAACTCTAATGATGTGAATTTTTATAGAAATTTCATAAGAATAATTCCAAATATAAAGTGATGTGATTATGGTCACTTTATAAGAATTCATATGCAAGCAAAACACTATTAATGTGACTCAATATGCCTTTTTTATTCTCCCTCCACCTTCAAAACAAGTGACCATATTATTCTATCATTATAACTTAGCTAAAAAGGAGTTATGGAGTCATCCTCCCCTTTTCTTTTTTAAGGAGAATTTTAAGAATAAATCTCCAACATTTTTTTATTTTCAAGATTAACCTTTAAAATTTTAAATTCAAATATTTATATCAAATACAAATAAATCTATTTAATAAATTATTGAGAGTAAAAATTACAAATTTTGTTCTATTTTTCAAATCATTTATAAATATATTATATTTAAATATTGCATATGAAATTCTTTCATTACTTTTTTTTTCTAAGAAATAAATCATATCATTGCTTTGATTTTATTTATTTATTTATTTATCATTTCTTTTGAGCTAATGAATCACCAAAGAAAGAGAAGAAAACTCATTGATTGATTTGATTCAACACAAACACATAGGAATCAAATCATTACATCCAACGGCGGATGTGGGCCTCTTTTATATAAAGAACACAATGTTACTTTCATTTATTGCCTTTAAAGGCTTTTTCTTTACAAAAGTATAAATAAGTGCTCTTCACATCTTTTTCATCCAACTATTTTAATTAATTGGGCTAAGAAAATATTTATAATTCTATTGTGCTCTTCACTATTATTCACTTCTAATGGCTCTCCTCATCTCAAGGAGTTAGTATTCTAATAGATTAATAGTGGTCACTTAGGTTTTATTTGAAATATTTTTCTTACTATTTTTTAAAGTAGTTTTTTAATTCAAATTTTTTTTGAATTAAAAATTTTTGTATACATAAATTGCTTTAGAAAGCAGTATGAAAGTTGTTTCAAATGAAAACTTAATCACTTGCAAAAAAAAAAGATTTTGGTAATATGATTGGATTTTGGGTGGAGAAAAATATTGAGCGAGGAATAATTTAATGATTCAGCAATTTTTCTTTTGAAAATGATGAGTTCATTCGCCTAAATCGGAGGTTTGAATTTTTTTATTTTTTATTATAAATTTTATTATTTGATTAGAATTTAGTTGATGTAAAATTATGATATTTAATACATCATGAAATTATTTAAATAATGATATAATGATGTGATAGGTTACAAATTAAAAATAAAGAGATATATTTTATAGTTTATAAAGCATCCACTTGAAATAATTATATAGCTAAGCATATTGTATATAGGGGTGTAGCTGAGTCAAGCCGACTCGCGAGTCAGCTCGGGCTCAACTCTTTAACGGCTAGACGAGTCGAGATTATCGAGTTCGCGAGTCGAGCTCGAACAAGATTTCGAGCTCGACGGGCTTATTGAGCTCGAGCTTGAATGGCCCTTTCGCTCGACTCAACTACTCGTCCAGCGGCTCATGATGGGGGCGACAAATGGCACGCCATAAGACAGGAATCACATTCGGTTCGGCTAACAAGAAGGAAAATGAAAACACGAGTGAGAAAACTAGATCAGAAGTCGGGCACGAGATCGGAACTTAGGCGCGAAACTGAGTGGCTCAATGAGCTCGTTTTAGTGTCGCGAGTCGAGCTCGATATTTGACTCGCGAGTCGAGCTCGAACACCCCCTGACTCGAGCTCAACTCGACTCGTTTACACACCTAGTTGTATATTCAAATTATATCATAATATATATTGAAACTCCTCCATTTACGTGAGAATTTTTTTTTTTTTAGAATTGATAGTATAATAATACATTTAGAAATTGAAAAAAAAAAAACTATTAATAAAAAATACATACAATCAAAAAGATATTCACGTGCCATTTTGATCTATCAAGAATTTAATGATTCGGATGTTCAATTTTATTTTTATTTTTTTTATTTCTATTGCGAGTTGATTTTTAAATTAGATCTAACTGAATGATGCACTGATAAAATGTTGATCTGATTAGATAGTTAAAATCATGTCACAAGCAATTATAGATATTGATGTCTCCTAAACCCTAAACTATAAAAAATTAAATGAAATTCATTCAATACAACCCACCTAATCACCCAAATTATATTTGCTAAATATATTTTATGTATTTATTTTCTTATCATGTATATTGTTAAATGGTCTATTTCGGACAACGTTCTCGCTATTTTGCTCTTCAAACAATAGTCACAATTTCATTTTGCTATTATTTTTTTGATACTCTCTCATTGTTTTTCAAAAATTTTTATGATAAAATTTTACTTTTTGCAACCAGAGTAGCTAAATTGATTTCCCTACAACAACTTCCCAATTAATTTTATAAAACGTTATTGTCTTCTCAAATAAACCCTATATCATTAAGAATATTACATTATATCATTCTTTTACATATTTATTTTGTTT